ATTATTATTATTATTATTATTATTATTATTATTATTATCTCTCTCTGTATTAATATTCTCTGCTATTGTACTACTACTGCGTATTATTATTATTACTCTTAAATTATTGTTACTCTCCAGCGCTTTGTTGAGCACCCTACTTATCACTGGGCCTCTTTAATATATGTTTTCGAGAGTAACAAACTCACTTACTTTCGCAAAAGTGTTAGGAAACAGTTGGCTAAATGACGCCGTCTGGATGTGAGTCAGGGGAATCGAAAGTTGAAAGTCCTAGCAATTATCCTAGGGATTAGAAATCAAGGAAATCTCTCTCTCATTCACTCTCTCCCTCTCTCTCTCTCTGGCATCCTTGGGGAAACTTCCAGATGAGGGTCTCACAAACGCAGAGGAAGGCCAAGTAGACAATTAGTGCACAATCGAAGCATGAAACTGTTCAAGTCACAGAGATGTTTTCATTTCAGACATAGGTCAGCTGACTGATATCATAGATTTCTTAGAAACTGTCTCAGATGTCTTCCTAATGTGCAGGCATTGTGTGAGCTATTCTAAACACACGCAGAATTCATGGCGCGGCCTGAAATAAGTCAACGACCACTATGCACATGAGTTAAGCAATCACCGTGAGATAGAACGGTCAACCTATTTCAGAACATTGTTCCATGAGCTACTAACAACCCCTCCCCCTTACTTTTTTCTTCCTTTGAGTGAGAATGATTCTTGAATGACTTGAAGAATATGGTTGACATTTGGAGTCTTGAAGAGGTCAATACAGAAGAAGGGGTTGCACAACCAAAATTTGCATCAATCCGGCCAGGCTCATACAAATATTCCCAAGATTGCATTTTTAATTGAAAATACCGTATGGAATTGCCGAGTGGGCGTAGCTAGTAAGAGATGTCACTGCTGTGCCCTCTTGTTCCCACCTCTCTCACCACCACAGTATCTGGGGAGAAGGTGGCCAATGGCGTCATTACCTGGTCCCGCCTATCTTTCCAACCTGAAAAGTTTCTTCGTTTAATTTTCTTTTGGTTTTTGTCACTACATTAAAGTTTGACGTGCAATTTGATCTTGGAAAAATAACTTTGCCGACCGGCAAATCCGAAGCGAACGCACACTTCTAGGTCCATCTCTTCTGTTGCATTAGCATTGAACGTATATCAAAGTTTTGTTCACTTATTCGTTTATGCCCTACTACAATTCTTTATCTCTACTATTCCAATCTAAAACAACAACTATTCAGCGGGGAACTCCTGTATTGGAAACCAATATAATACGAACTAAGCCTTCCAGTGAGATATAAGCCCAAAAAATGATAACTGAAAGTTGGCCTCACCAACAAGACAAGTCCCGCGCTGAAAAATTTCTGTAAAATGCGACCTCAGCGAAACTCCATTTTTTCCTAGGTTAAAAAGCCAGGGCATATTATTGGTTGGGGGTTTTGGTGGAGTCCGAACGACCCCACCCCCATCTAGTTCAATCCTCTGATACGGTCAAGCTGTCGAGCGTTAGTGGGACAGGTAAGGGGGGGGGGTGGTATGTGGGCACATGTGAATTAGGAAAAACCGCGAAAGTCAACAACCGAATAAATCGCCCAACGCCGCTACAAAATTTCTCAGACGAAACGCGGTCCCCTTCTCCCCTTTTGCCCCTTTTGGGGAGTTCCCAGCGAGAAATGCACCGCAAAAAGCTCTGTCGAGCAGGGGGGGAGGGGCGAGAGTAGGTACTTAGCACACTTGAAACAGGAACGGGAGTAAAGTCAGCAACCAAAAAAAAACTTCTCAAAGGCAATTACGACCTCCTCCCTCCCCTCCAGCGATGTGGCACTCCACCCCAACTAGTTGAGAAGCCCCAAAGCACGACGAGCCCTGCTCACCACCTGGGGGCTCAGGGAATTTGGCTTTTCAAGATTTTTCTTAAGCGCTTGCACTCACATTCGCCAAGGACGTCAAACCAAGCCTCCCATTTAGTTCGGACAGTACGAGATTCCCTAGCATTTTCGAATTCAGTTTTTGCTTTCAAATCTGGAAAACCCATTCTTCTGTCAGCTAACAGCTATGGCAGACGAAGTCATTAGTCCTCTAGTCCGGTTTTTAGCCCGATCGCCAAAAGTAATTGTCTGCCATGTCCAAACAAAACTACACACTAGAGCACTTTCCTATCCTATTTCAAAAGTGCACGACTTCATCGCTAGACAGTTTGTTCTCAGCTTTTACCTCCATCCACACGAAATAAGCGCAACATCGGCTTTCCCAGGCCTCGTTTCATCTCGAACGGCAACTAATAGGTCGTGCAGTAGTTCTTTGAAACGAGTCGATAATACATTACAGCTCGCCTACTAGAGTGGCTCACTTTTTTTTCTGCAGGCTCCTTTCGGTTTTCTCCTTTTGCGTAGCCGTCTTTTTCCTTTGTCCCTAGTTTCCCAACTTTTTGGAATGGAAAAAATATTTGCCTATTTATGATTTTCTTGCTTTCGCTTCAAATGGTCTGTACAAGATGTGGTACATCACAGTGAACTATCGTCGGGACAGCTCGGCGTCAATCTCGTTGTTGGGCACCAAAATAATGCAAACCACTCAGTAAGAACGGGTCGGCGCGCACACATAACTCAGCCCACTGACACGCCCGAGCGAGTCCGCAGTGAACGGACTGTAGTTACTGGCTTGGCAGAGATGGCATGTGCGCGCTTAGCTGCCGGTCCACGCCGAGAATATGAGGCAGCTTCATACTTCGCGACAGCAGCGGTGATCGCCGCGTTGTCGGTACAGTGACAGCAGGCGACAACCCACGCTCATGTACTTGGACCGCTCACTTTGGTAAAGAAATCCAACATGTGAGTTTTTTTTCCTCTTAATAATGGCTACTAGTTGAAAACTTATGACTTTCTGTGCTTAAAAAGGTTCATGCGAATGAAAGAGTTCCTCTTTGGAGGATGGTTATCGTTACCGGATAGGCACAGTCATTTTCCTAGTGCCAGTTACTTTTTTGTTTTTTTTTGTTTTCATTGTTCCCAATTAAATGTTTTGAAAAGTGTCCTAGTCAGCTTGAAGCTGTTTCTAACTCGCCCAATATTATAGCTGCTACAAGACGAGTTCAAAATACGAAAAAAAGACAAGAAGGAAACCCACTAAAACACTTAAAAGCACTAAACTCTTCATGCCAACATCGATGGATCAAACTCTATAACTTTGTGCAAGTTCGATAAATGAAAAAGAAACAATAAGAAACTTACCCTGGATGAAGCTAGCACGCCTTTTGTTCCTTTCTATCCTGTACCAAAAAGGAAAATAGAAAACAAAAGCCATTAAGTTGGGTCCACCTTTCCTTCTGTCTAACCAAGCTTTAGTAGCCTGACACTTGCAGACAATAATTCAAAAAGTCACGAAATTGAGTCGATTCTCCCTGAAAGCACTAGACGCGGTCCAAGTAATAGCGTTGGGGTGCGCTCTGTCACGTACCGACGATCGCGTGCCGCGATCGCTACTTGTCGCGAAGTATGAACGCTGCCTGGGAGATGCAACAGCGCCTGCACTCTCTTACCTTGTCACTGTCTTCACCTGAACCGGCAATTCTCCACAGCCATCACGCCTACAGCTGATTTCATGGTCACTCCCTTGAAGCTTCAAGATATGGACTGAACGCTGTACTTCCTTTATTGCATTTTCATTTAGTTATTTATTGGCATAGATCAAGGGTGCGCCGTACGGCCAGGACAAAGAGAAGAGATTCAAACTAGCGGATGGCACAATAAGGAATAAAAACAACAATCAAAAGCAAATGCGAACATTATAACAACACAAAAGTAAGCAAACAATTTGAAAAAAAAATTCAGGAAAATCATGGGTGCTGTGTATTGAGACGAATCGAAAAAGTCACCAGGACTATTTGAAACGACAATACTGGGGCTTGTTATCCCCAGGCGCATCAAACAACTGGCAACACAGCTCAAGTCGGTGGCCATCTTCCAAAGCATACCTCAAATTAGCCATTACAGCTTCATACAAGTTACAATTACATTTCTCTCTTCCTACAATCTACTGTCGCTAATGAATGTTCGTTATCCTTCATGACTCCCATTATGCTCTGTATCAGAGGTTCTAGTCGGTCGCAGCGCTCGGCGACATACTAGTCACAAACAAACGCTGTGCTATTTTGGAGCAGCTAAGTCGTAAAGAATTGCAACCGACTTGGAACAGCGGTTTGAAACACGGTGAGACTAGTAAAATCTGATTATTTCCAGTAAAAGGGAATGCTATACGATGCGGAGGACCATTCACTATTCCTCACTCCACGTGTATGTTACTTTTCAGCGGCGAAAGGAGGAGCGTCGCGGCATATGATGGTAAATGGAAGCAGTCAAAGGTGAGGGATCGCAAATTCCTCCACAACGCCGGGCAGTTGATTAGGCGGTCAAAGGGTCGCAGACGCAGCTGCGGTGCGTCACGACCGCGGCGATCAGCTTTTTCCAGCTATAGCCATTTTCTTCATAATTTTCACTGTACTAGTTAGTTTTCAAAGTAAGTTGTTTTTTTTTGTTTTTATGAAGTATATTAGGACGTGGATTCTTTTTTGTTTTTGTAATGAAGTGTTTTTGCGATTTTTTAGGTATTTGTTTAATTGTTTGTTTAATTATTTGAATTGTTCGCAAAAATTAGAGAAATCTCAATCATAATTTACCTTGTGAAGACAAGGAACAACTAACCTTAAGAAAAGCAGCCAAAAACAGTGAAAATTAGGGAGAAAATGGCTAAATAGGCTGGAAACAGCTGATCGGATGCGCTGCAGCCGCGTCTGCGCCCCTTTGGCCGCCCAATCGACCACCAGGATGATGACTTTATATCCCGATGAGCAAATGAAGCCTGAGTGATATAGTTTACAAAAAAATGAAAGAGCATAACAATTAACTAAAAATGATTAATTTTTAGGATGGCCATCAAAATCAAGTGCAGCAACAATGAGATATTTCGAGTTTCACCAGTATACTGTCTGTTAGAACCGGGAGGCTCACAGCGATTACAGGTTTCCTTTTTCCAAATATCTCTTTACTAAAACGGATTCACCAGCATTTAACTGCTGCCACCTCTCCATCTTTCAAGCAACTGCGTCAATACTTAGCTTTATGCAGCCCTACCCAATACCCAATTCCCGATCATGCCGCAGCCGCAGTTACCTGGCCTTTACTGTTTTTCTTACTAGGTGTTGTATTTTCTTAGAATTCTCTCGGACTTAACTGAACTTGGAACACTTGGCTTCCCTTCACAGGGCACGTGCACAGCGTGCAAAACATTTCGTAATTTCCCCCAAATCCTTTTGCTCCGTCCACTGCACTAGGAGTCCACTTCTTTCAAGGACTCTCTTTTCATATGCTCTGACATTAGTATTTTAATGGTAAACTTGCATATCAGCAAGGCTCATCAAGGCACTGAACGGTCAAAATCGCAGTGAATTTTCGGCACTATTCAAGTTACTACCCCAGTTTTCCGAAAACAGGCCGGATCTTGATCGACTTTTTCTACGGGGGCAGATTTGGCTGAAAGTTGGGTTCTAGGGGTAATTCGACCTCCTGAACACGAATATCACATCCACTTGGCCTGAAAGTGCCTGGCGCCCGCGCCACAGGCGCCGGCGCCAAAAACCCTAAATCACCGAATTCGCTGAAAACTTGTCCCCAGGGGTAGTTTGACCTCCTGAACACGAATATCACATCCGCTCGGCTGAAACCGCCTGGCGCCGGCGCCAAAGTACCCTAGATCACCAAATCCGCTGAAAACTTGTACCCAGGGGTAGTTTGACCTCCTGAACACGAATATCACATCCGCTCGGCCTGAAACCGCGCCACAGGCGCCGGCGCCAAAATACCCTAAGTCACTAAATCCGCTGAAAACTTGTATACGGAAGGTTATTTGACATCTTGGTTACAAATATCACATTCATTTTTGGCGCTGATGGAAGACGCTGCGATCATCTGCGCTCTGCTAAGGCTGAGCCTGACCTGAAGGAAATCACTCTTTCTCCCAGGCTCAGCCTTAGAAAAGCGCTAAATGGCGCTGGCGTCGAAAATAAATGTCATATTCGTGATCAGGGCATCAAACAACCCCATTATGCAGGTTTTTATCGATTTTGATAAAAAGGGTGTGGCGCCAAATCAGCGCCTAATGGCGCCAAATGGCGTCAGGGCTGAAAACTAATTCGGTATTCGTGATCAGGACATCAAATAACCCTACTATGCAAATTTACACCGAATTTGGTGAGAAAGGTGGCGGCGCCAAACTGGCGCCAATTGGCGCCAATTTGGCGCCAGCGCCGAAACGAGTGCTACATTCGTGATCAGGACACCGAATTATCTCCGCGGGCAGAGCTTCACCACAAACCTTTTTAATTTTTGGGGTAGTAAGTTGAATAGTGCCTCCCTTCACTCTATTTGCAAAGTTGTTGGCTTTCAGGCTGAATCTGTGGTGAACATTTCACCCACATTTATACACAGTCCTATTCTCTTTAGTGGCTTCTCATTAAAGCGTAAAAGTCCGAGCAAAGGTTTAGGGCCAAGTGGCCTGGGTCACAAAGGAAGATTGAATCTTGGATCGTATCTCCCTCACGTTCACAAGCTTCATAAAAGAGGATGTAAAGCCAGCAAGTGCTCTCTATAGAACTCGTGAGCCAACCCTGAGTTCGGTCATTGGTGCAACTTTCGCACAAATTATCCCTGGTACACATATTGGTACAACTTTTGCCTGGTGGAATAGCAACACAGGGTTACCCTCCCCCGCCCATTCATTTTGAAATACGCACTGGAATTTTTTGACGATTTCGCAGTGGATACGAACGTATGGTGTGCGCCAAATTTCCCCTGGAACTTTCACATATTAATTCACCGAAATTCATAAAGACGTCAAGCATCCTTCAATCAATTTGCTCCAAAAATAAATTTTGAAATATGTTTTTCAGCATTTGGCGTGAAATGTAGAACTCACCTTTCATACAAAACCATGCTTACTAGTTAAGTTATTGGTCACTCAAGAAGTCTGTGTGATGTCCTATATTCACTTTGCTTTGAGAACAGGGCACAGCGTTCGATGGGGATTCCCTATGGGGGGGGGTCGTATTTGGCCGCCAAAAGGGGGGGGGGTCGTAAAAGCTCGACCAAAATCCCCATCGAATGCTGTGCCCTGTTTGAGAAGCTGAGAGCTTCAGTAGTGTCATGCATTCCCCGAAACCTATAATCAAGGATATTAAATATCTATACGACAGTTTTATGTAAGATTTTCAGATTGTCAGGGATCCTGGTGAGGCAAAAATAGACAAAATTGTGCTTCTCTATCGATACACGACATTGTCGAATCCAAGAGATGCTTTCGTAGATTTAGAAAAGGATGAGGGTTAGTATGAACTGGTTCTTCCTTTTCCAGTTTCTTTATTTTAAGTAGTAGTACTACACGTATTACTTGTATTATATGATGTCCTGTCGAAGAGTTTTCCAGTCGTTTCTTAATTTGTAAAGAATAAATCACCGCATAAAAATAATTAAGCTAGCCGCTAGGCGGAATTAGATTAACGTTTCAGACATTTGAAAACTGTTGTTTTACTTCGC